ACATTTACCCTACTATTCAACAACGGACTAAATTTTAGTTCAGTGATCCAAACAGACCCTTACTATAGTGTGTTAGAAAAGGTCTACTTTCTCCGTCCCAAATTAATTGTCGTTTTAGGTCTATGTGCCACAAGTTTGACATGATTTGTAGAAAAATACGTGTAATATTTGTATCTCCAAATAAATTTGCTAAAAAACTAGATTCAAAGATCTTTTCTATAATACTAATTATGTATCATAAATATTAATATTTTTAAAATATATTTAGTTGTTTCTCGATAAACGAAAACGACAATTATTTTGGGAGTATATGTCGGAAAAAAAACTATGCTAAGGTCTTACTCTGACTATTCCCTGGTGTACCGATGATTTTTCAATTCAAACAGCACAGACAGGTACAATCCGGTACACACACAGTGCACACCACAGCTGTCGTGTCCTGGCCCTGGCGCGACACCACGGAGGAACACGCGCGCTCGAGAGTACGAGACACACCCTGCGCGTGCATTCGATTTGGCCCTTGATACACACCTAGGAGCAGCGGCCCTCGATCCTCTCCCCTGACGGCTGACGCCGTGGCCCCTTTTCGCAGGCCGCTGCTCCTCTCGCAAATGCGATTGTGCGGCCGGCTACGGTCCGGGAGCGCGCGTCGCTGTTGCTGTGCCTCCGTGGTCCAGCCCCAGTCCAACAGGCCGCCTGCACTGCAGCCTGAGGAGACGGTGACGGAGACGGGGAGCCGCCCGCCCCCGCCTCTCAACCTCGCCAGATCAGCCATCGCCCCAGCCGGCCAGCCCCCATGTCCCAAGCGTGTGGAGATTCTGCGGGAGGAGGACAGGCCAAACCGCCAAAGCCAAGCATGAAGTATGCACCCACACACAACAGTCGGACGTCTTCGTGTGTAGTACTCGCTACTTGATTGCATTGCGCTGCATTTGCCTCAGTCTGTTCGGCTGTTCCTGGCATCCAGTGCCCGGCCTCTGCTGTCTGCTCCTAAGGCGCTCGAGGTCCGTTTCGTTCATCTATCACTCATTCACTCACACACTCCTGCTGGTGCGTGTGAGCTGTGCAGTGTGTACCTCATGATCTCGCTGACTCGTTGACCTGGCTGTGCACCTGGCCGAAGGCTGGCCATGCAAGCCCAGGCCCAGAAGCCTTTGCTGTTTTTTCCTCTCAACAACTTTCATTGTCATCACTCATCAGGTGTTCAAAAAGCGACTAAGCACAGGGAAGTGGTGTCCATGGCTCCACGGCCTGTGTATCCAGTGGCTAGTGCAGTGCTTGTGCTTCCTGGGACTATGATAGGGTGGCGAGGTGAAGTGAGGTGTCCGACATGATCGTGCACGCTCAAAGCGACATGTCCGAGCACGAAACGGCAGCTGACGCAAGCGCGAACGCAAGCAGCGAGCAGCGTGGCTCACTGGATATCACATCAAATATTTATATACTAACAAAGTGCATTAAATATAGATTAATTATAAAACCAATTACGTAAAGGCTAATTTGCGAGACGATTTTTTTAAGCCTAATTAATATGTCATTAGCACATGTACTGTAGCATCACGTTGTTAAATCATGGACTAATTTTAGGAGGGTCAGTAGAAACCAAACAGGACCTTCCTCCCTCAAAAGTTTACATCATATTTTATCGAATGTTTGACATATGCATGAAATATTAAATATAGACTAAAAATGAATAATTACACAGATCGCGACTACTTTGCGAGACGAATCTTTTAAGCCTAATTAGTCCATGATTTGACAATAAAGTGCTACATTACATATTGCTAATGATGGATTAATTAGGCTTAATAAATTCTTCTCGCGCACGACTAATTCTGTAACTTTGGTAGATGCAGTCAGCACAGGATCGGGATGTGACCTTTCCGTGAAAGAAAACTATGGAGCCCCTTTTCCCAGATCCAGCGCCTTTTCTTTTTTTATATATACCTCTGTTCTAAAACGAACCGAAAACTTACCTTCCAATGCTATGATGAGTCAAGTCATTTTAAATTTTAGTATAAATATATAGAAAGTATTAATATTTATGATATACTAGCTTTTTGTATCTTATTCTCATAGTAAGATTTTAGATTTTAGATAATGAATGTAAAATTTAGATCCTAGATAAAAAAAACAAGGAATGTTTAGATTTTATTCTCATAGTGATTATTGTCTTTGTCTTTTAAAATTTTCAAATAGTAGCTATGGGGTAGATAGTTGAATTCTAAAGTGTCATTCTAGAATCCAACGTGTTAGTATCTCATCCTCATTTTTCAACCTCAATTTCATTTTTAGATCCAAATAAGACCTAAATATTATTAAATTATCATGAAATATATTTTTCTTTATAAGATAGATATAAATATTGATATATTTTTCTATAAACTTTATTAAATTTGAAATTATTTGATTTCTTAGGACGAGATTTCTATTCTTATTTTTTTGGATACGGAGGAAATATCTATAGGTGTTTTCAATCTAAAGCCAGAATAACTCAAATTTAATACTGGACTATGTTTCAAACAGATGACACGATCGTCGCATAAACCTTCAAGCTCCAGGTCATCCAAATATCACACAACTATTTGTATGTTCTGTTGCAACATACTCCCTCCGTTACAAATTACAAGTCATTTTGACTTTTTTGGTATATAGATTTGGCTATGTATTTAGACATATGTTATATTTAGATACATAGCAAAATCTATGTAAAAAAAAATCAAAACGATTTATAATTTGGGATGCAGCGAGGTACCAAACATGTTTGCTATGCTAGTATAAATATATATAAATCGCCGTGCGTGCGCGCAAATTGGCCAGTTCATCAGCGCAACGAGCACAACCCGACTGGTATCTAACCTCATCTGCTTCTCCTGTTCATCTTGTCCTTGCCGCCTTTCTCGCTTTGGCTCGTGATCATGGAACAGCCATGTAGCGTGATCATGGAACAGCCATGCAGCCCACAGTCACGGCCACGCCGGATGATCGAGTGAAATGCGGCACTAGGGAGTGGCATGGCACTGGGCATGCTGCGCCCCTTTTAGTTTCTATTAGGGTAATATATGAGAGAATAAGATAACAACTCTTGCTGCTGAATCGCCGTTGCTTTCTTACTGATCTCATCCTCTTTCCTGCCTTCGAGCTGAAGACTTGTGATCACCGATCAGTGTGTCTTTGGCGCTGCTGCAGAGACTTGAGCATCTTTTTGTGTGTGTGGGTGTGGGTGTGTGTGAACCTTGTTTATACTCCTGCAATGCAAGGCCGATGGAGCTTAATGCGTGCCTGAACGCATTGGGCTGATGTGCCTGCAGCTAGCTCATGTTATGATGGCGTTAACTAACTTTACGGTCAAGCCGGTGAAGCGGTGATGAAGGGAGGGAAAGCTAGATCTCAGTACTACTACCATTACCACTACACCCCGTAGCAGTAGCACCCACCACAGCGTCCCTACTTATTATTTTCCGCCGCTGTTACCCACTAAATACACTGTCACATGCGTGGTAGCGAGAACAGAGCAGGGTTCCCCTGAGCAGAGAGCTAGCACGGATTAAACCCCGAACAGTGCAGTCGTTAACTGTTGGCACAGGCGCACAGAACACGTACGCCCAAAGCCCAAAAGGTCCTGTTGCCGCTCGTCAACGTGCTTTGCGCCGCGATGAAGCCTTAATGGCCGTGAAAGTTGAAACCGCTGTGATCCTGCTTGCGCGGCCGAAACTGATGGAACTGTTCTTCTCCTCCTCGTCCGTCGTCATCTCTGAGCTTCTCGTACGTGTACCGTATGCGGCAGGTTCAGAAATCAGAACGCAGCAATTGCCTGCACGTACAGAGCGGCCGCAGGAAGTGAATGGGATTTTTACAGGCTGGAAAGGGGAAGGTGATGTGTTTATGCTGCCGCCTTAAAGCGAATGGACGAGCCTTCGTCAGGCACTTCAAACCGGGAGTTAAGGCGGCTCCTTCGTACATACGCGTATGGGGACGGGGACGCGTCTTCGAGTAAATGGCGCGAGCTCGCCTCTTCTCCTCTGCAACCTCTCGCTATTACTCCTGTGACGTTTCTTACGGCTTGTTCGTTTGCTCGTAAACGATCGTAAATTTCTAGCGGGGAACAGTGTTTTTCTCTCACATCAAACCAGCCAGCAGTAAATAATCCACGATACGATACGGCCTCCGAACAGGCTTGCTGGCAGCAATGGTGGAGTGGAGCAATGGAGATGGGCGAGTCAGCAGCACCCATCAAGGCAGGCAGGCAGCGACGCAACGGCCGTCGTCGTCTTCTTTGGAGCTCCGGCTCCAACAAGGCAACAAGCAGAGCTCGATTTGTTGGGCGGTAGTGGAACGTGCAAGTGGAAAGACAGACAGTGCCGTGGTACTGAACGAGATCAAAAGCCTACTATGGCCTTGCCATCGCCAAGTCGCCAACCCAGACGCGTTGGCATCGTAGCATGGTCACGAGGACGGAGGACCCCAAACCGTCCTGCAAAGTAGGAGTACTAGCCGTCCATGGAAATTCTAGACAGAGCAATAGGTAAGCTACTGATATCAGCCTGCTCGGGAGACCGTATCGTATCATAAATTATTTACTGCTGGCTGGTTTGGTACGAGAGAAAAACACTGTTCTCGACTGGAAATTTACGATCGTTTACGAGCGATCAGACCGCTTTAGATTCGGGTGTGGTAGTGGTGGTACTTTAGCAGATGGAACACAACAAACAGAGAGACATTTGGGGATTTTCGAAGCGATTAATTATCTCCGCCATTTTTACATACAGAACGAACGTGCCATTGCCATTGCCATTGCAGCTGAGCTTGCTGCTTCACAGATGATCGGGTACCCTTGCCAGCCTATACAACAGTCGCCTGCCTACTTCCTTCGCCATACGTACACCGGGCGCACTCATGATTACCTACCACTACTGAACACTGATGACCTTCTTCCTTGGAGACACGACACGAGCACGGTCATGCCGGCCGTCAAGCAGATTTGAGTTGAGAAGCTACGCCTACGCGGCGGCCTTGGCCGGCGGTATCACGATCGGGCTCCGGACGACATGCTCGCTCGACACCCACTTCAGGTTCCCCTCGGCGCCGGCCACGGCCGGCGGCCCGTTCCACCGCACCGTCACGGTGAAGCTCTGCTTCTCGTTCACCCTGGTGAACCGCAGCATCGGGGGCCGCACCACCACGGACACGCCCTTCGGCATGTCCACCACGGCCGTGTAGACAGAGTTGGTCTTCCTGAGGTTGGTCACGGTGCGGCAGACGGTGATCGGATGGGACAGCAGCTTCACTACCAGCGACGGGTAGTTGAGCTCCGCCTCGGTGATGGCCTTCAGCTTGGCGCAGGCGATGCGGCGCCCCGTTATCTCCTTCACGCCGTCGTCCCCGATGCCCAGGCCGCAGAGGTAGGCGACGTACTCGCCGGCGCCGAGGTCGTACACCAGCCCCGGGTCGACGGCGCGGGACGGGTTCACGTACCCGGCGCCCATGCTGTAGAAGCTCGCCCGCCGGTACTGCTCGTCCTTGATCGGCACGCCCGCGTGGTCCGCCGTGTTCGACGAAGTCATGATCGCCGACTTGATCGCCGCGGGGACCAGCTCGGGTGCAGGCTCTGATGATGGCCGCGATGCCGCTCAGGTGCGGCGTCGACATCGACGTCCCGGACTCCATGAAGAAGGTCAGGCTTACGTCGTCCGCGAACTGCGGGTGCATCTCGCTGGGCGCCCACGCCGCCAGGATGTTCATGCCGGGACCGGTGATGTCCGGCTTCAGGATGCCCGGGCCCGCCTTGTTCGGCCCGCGCGACGAGAAAAAGGCCACGGACGGCGCCGGGGACGAGCCCATCACCGTGCCCCAGAACGTGATGGTCGTCGTGGGCTTGGGCGTCGACTTGACGTACGCCGCGATCTTCGACCCCGCGGCGTAGCTCACGTGCGACGCCGGCAGAACGTGCGCGTCGGCGAAGGTGGTGTACCCTCCGCCGCCTTGTTCATCAGGATCATGCCGGCGCCGCCGTACGCGGACACCATCTGCCCCTGCTCGACGTGCTCGGTGATGGAGCGGATCTCGCACAGCACCACCTTGCCCCTCACCTTGGCCTCCACCAGCGTGCTGCAGTCGCGGGCCTCCGGGTCGCCGTTGCGGTCCGGGAAGACGAGCGGTAGCGGGCGCCCCGCGGTGTTGTTCCGGGGCTGGAACAGCGACTCGCCGTCGAACTCCTGCCCGTTGCCGAGCCTCACAGTGGTGCGTATCGCGCGGTCCATGGTGCCCGCCGCGACCGTCAGCATCCACGGCGCGCCGTTGGTGATGGATCCCGCGGTGGGGCCGTCGTTGCCGGCCGCGGCGCTGACGAAGATGCCGTGCTCCATGGCCTTGAACGTGGCGATGGCGATGAGGTCGTAGTTGAACTGCGCGCCGTCCGTGGCGCTGATGGAGAAGGAGAGCACGTCCACGCCGTCCATGACGGCGGCGTCCAGCCCGGCGACGATGTCCATGATGGAGCACCGGCTCCGCGCGCACACCTTGTAGATGGCCAGGTGCGCGTGCGGCGCCATCCCGGACGCCGTGCCGTGCGCGTTGCCGCGCACGTCGGCGTTCTGCACGAAGTTGCCCGCCGCCGTGCTGGCCGTGTGCGTGCCGTGGCCCGCGTCGTCCACGGGCGGCGCCGTGTTGTTGATGGCCGCGCTCCCGAACGCACGCGCGCCGATGACCTTGTTGCTGCACCCGCCGCCGGCGATCGACCTGAACTGGCAGGTGCCCTTCCACTTCTTGGGCGGCGGCGGCAACCCGGCGTCGTTGAAGGACGGGTGGCTGGGCAGGATGCCAGTGTCGAGGAGCCCAATCACCACGCCGCGGCCGAACCCGGACCGGCTCCAGAAGCCGTCCTTGCCCATGTGGAGGCCGAGGAAGCCCGGCGAATGGGTGGTCGCCAGCGGCAGGAACTCCTCGGGGTACAGACGCAGGCACCCCTCCTTGCTCCGCAGCGTCTCCGCCTCCGCGTCGGTGAGGCGGGCGGCGAACCCCGTCAGCACGTGGCTGTACGAGTGGATGATCCTCGGGCCGTCATCCGCCGCCGAGTCCAGCGTGGCCTCCGGCAAGAAGGACCGGTGCCACTCCTCCAGCGAACCGGCGCTGCCGCCGTCGTCGTTGTCCCTCGGCTCGAGATGAACCACGTAGTTCTTGCGCTCCTGCGCGTCGGCGACGGCGAGCAGCGCGTCGGCGACGGCGAGCAGCGCGGCGGCGGACAGCAGCAGGAGGGGAAGGAGGCTTTTTTGGGTCCTCATGAGGCTAGGCACTCTAGCAAGCAGGAGTGGACCGGAGGAGGAAGACAACTCGACAAAGGGAGGTAGCGGCTGCTGTTGCTGGATGCTGCCGCCGCCTTGTCGTTGCTGCTCGGCGCTCGCTAGCGCCGAATCGATTTGAAGCGAGGGAGCAGGGTGAGGGAGGCAGGGGAGGGGGGAGTGAAGTGGCGTGGCAACAACGAGGGGATGCCGGGGTTTATGTAGGGTGGCACGGCAGGCAGAGGCAGCCGCGCAGCGGCAGTGGGTGGGGGAGGGAGAGGAGTGAGTGAGTGATGGGCAGCGCAGAGCACTGGCGGTGAGCTGGAGAGCAGACTGGACTGATTTTGAATTTGATTTGGTGATGCCACTGGCCGACTGGCGTTACTGTTCCCCCCTTCCCCTGCCCCGGGCTCCGACTCCGGGTGGGCGGTGACCACGGCGACCGTTGGATCAGAAAACGACGTGTCAATAGGTGCTGCTTGCCCCGCCCTTCGTCTAGAAGTCTGGGGCTGCTTTCCGGTCCGGCGAGGTCCATGGATTCGGCGTGGCCGTGGCTTGGCTTCACGCTCCTCCATTCATTTCTCACGCTTTCTTTTTAGCTGTTGCCTCATGAACTGTACGGCATTACTCTACCCCCACTCAACGTAATGCGTGGAGTAACTCCATCAGTTACGGCGGAGGCAGGGTAAAACTTTTTTTTTAGAATGGAGCTATGGATCATCCTCGTGAAAAAGCAAGTACAGTTCAAAACGTACGCAAAGGATTTCTTTCCACAAGAGAGGCCTGTACTCTACCACTCCCGTCACGCTGATGCTTTGGTGTGTGAACAAAATCATCCCGCCTTTGAACTAAGGGTTTTTTTATCCATATCATTACAATTTTGCAAGTTCAAAGATATACCATTACATTCGTCTATTTCGAGAATTATCATTATAATCCTATCTCTCATCAATGACAGTTCTCGAAATAGATGAATTATAACGTTGTATCTCCAAACTTGCAAAATTGCAATGGTACGGTTAAAAAAACCCTTGAACTAAACGTCGTTTGACAGAACGCTAGCCGGTCGCAGGGTGGTGCTTGCAACAAAAGGAGCCACGGCCACACACAGCCACGGGCACTGAGAGCCAGAGCCAACGCCATTTGAGCGGCGGCATCATCCCAACCCGCGTCGTCCTTCCTCCCTATCCGAACCCGTGGATCGCTGCCCCGCTGCTCGCCACTCTAGCGCCACGCGTGAGCTGGACGGCGCCCCGGACGGTAGCGAATCGCGTCGTCTTTTCAGTGCTTCCACCACCCTGTGACGCTGCGCATGGCCTCGTCTAAGCTCTCGCTCTGCATGCATTCGCCGTTGGTGGCGTGGCCTCCGTGGGGGCCTCACCCGCTTTCGGTACCGGGGCCCACCTGTCGGCGACAGCGTAAATGATGGGTCGGTGGGGCAAATCCTTGGTCGCAGGACTAGTGTTGTGTATTTCTGTGAAATGGGCCCTTGTTTAGATTGCAAATTTTTGCAATCTGGACACTGTAGCACGTTTCGTTTGTATTTGACAAACTTTGTTCGATCATGGACTAACTAGGTTTAAAAGATTCGTCTCGTGATTTACAACCAAACTGTGCAATTAGTTATTTTTTTACCTACATTTAATGCTCCATATATATGTCCAAAAATTAATGTAATGAAGAAAGAATAAAAAAACTTATAATTTAGAGGTGATCTAAACAAGGCCTGTTGGGCAGCGCAGGGGTCAATCATTCTTTGACCCCGCGGCGGCTTTTGGTTATGTGCGTCGACAGACAGATGTCTGAGCCAGGAGCAGCGTTCGAAAACGTTTCGCCGGAATCGCTTGTCGCTTTGCGTCGGGAGAATGATAGAGATGGGAGTGTGCTTTTCTTTAAAGATAATCAAGAGATGGAAGTGCTGGGCCTATAGATGTAGTAGGGCCATGTTTAGATTGTAAAAAATTTCAAACTGATAAATAGTAATATTTTCGTCTTATTTGATAAATATTGTTCAATCGTGGATCAACTAAGCTCAAAAGATTCATCTCGTGATTTCCAACTAAACTGTACAATTAATTATTTTTTTACCTACATTTAATGCTCCATGCAAACGATTAAAAATTGATGTGATGGAGAGAGAGTGAAAAAACTTGGAATTTGAAGGTGCTCTAAACAAGGCCTAGGAATATAAAATTGGAGTAAGGAACCCCTGTCAAGGATGATATTTATCGGTCCTGGAGCATGCGACTCTGCTTTCGTACTCATATGAAGTACACTTCTCTCCAGCGAAGAGTGAAAGCAATCAAGTCTATACAAAATAATATGATATACCAATCAAAATGTTATTAAAAAAATAATTAAATATATTTGAATAGTACGGCCCCGTTCGCTGGTCTGAAACTTCATTGAAACTGACTGGTTTTATGAGAGAGAAACACTGTAGCGGCTGATTGATGAACAATGTTTTGTGAAGAGGAGCAGCCGGCTGGTCTGAAAAAACTAGACCAGCGAACGGCGCCTATATCTTCATGTTGTCATAATTTTTTATACGTTTTCTATAAACCAAATCAAGCTTTAGATATACTTTAAGAGGAAATTATTTTCTTGGCCTAAAAAAAGTGTTGCTCAGTTTCTTGGCCCTTTTTTCTCGAACTTTTTTATTTGGCCCTAAAACGAATTTTCTTTGGTTTCTTAGTTTATGGGCTAACGGTGTTAAGCTGTACGCGAAATGGCTCTTTTACCCATCGCAACGAAGGCTACAATTCACAGATCTTTCAGGCCGCCTCTATCAATAATTTTCCAAAATAAGGTACAATATTTTTTCAAGCATGAAATCATTATATTTTTTTATTTTTTCAATAATTATATTTAAAGCCAGAGGTAAAAGAGTCATTTCGCGTACAGTTTAACACCGTTAGCCCATCAAACTAACAGAAGGGCCAAGAAACGAAAATAAATTCGTTTTAGGGTCAAATAAGCAAGTTCGAGAAAAAATGTCAAAAAAACTAAGTAGCACTTTTTTAGAGCTAAAGAAATAATTTCCTCATAATTTAATCAACAAAAGAACTATAATTGTGTTTTTTCGAGACGCATGGTACGATTGTTCGAAGAGAGCGAGGGGCCTGGCTTGTTGACTACTCCTCCAACATCTTGACGTGGAAACGAGAATTCCGATGCGTCCTCTGCAGCAGGAAAGAAATGTTTTTCGGGAGGCACGCACCGGATAGATTATGCTCTTGCTTACGGGCTGGCAAGCACCACAATGGCAGCACCGTTCTTGGTTTCCTGTGTTTCAGTTCCGCTGTCTGACGATGGAAGCCGCAGCAATGATACATCGAGAATCCTTTTCCTTCTGGCTCATCCACCAAACCCTTGCATGATTACATGCACACTATCACTAGAAGCACGGACGCCGAGCACGTATCTGCGCAGTCCCACGTCGAGCGCACCATCTTCTTTCGTGTATAGTAACGCGTACGCAGTAGTGGAGGCGCACGAGCAGCTGCGCGCGGCTCCGTTCCTTCCGGGAGAAACGCTCACCGTGGCCGCGGCCTCGCCCTCTTTTCCGGCAGTCGCGCGCGGCCGGCCGGCCGCCCCACTACTACCTCGGTTCGGTTGGTTTTGGTTTCCCAGCGCACGAACCGCCTCGGTGGCAGGAGCAGGAACAGGACAGGGGCACGCACGCACGCACTCCCTCGGTTCGTCCTCCCCCGCGCCGCTGGTTCAAGCAACCAGTCAGCCACCAGCACGCTGTGCGATCCGCGGTACACAAGCACGTGCGCAGGTACCGGCGTGGCGTGGCGCTTGGTGCTGGTTGGCAGCTGGGCGAGCACGCACGCTTGCTTGCCGCAGGCTGCTCTGCAGCCATGGCCCATGCTGTTCTGGCAGATTCAATTCCCACGCCTGATGCAGTCGTGCGCGCAGGCTCCTGCCGCGGCGGGCCCTTCCGGCTGGTGCCTGACTACCTGAGCAGCCGCCTCGTCTGACTCTGAATCCCCGACGACTGCTCGCTCGTCCCGTCCGGCCCCCGGCTTCGTATGATCGTACCGTATCCATCACAGCTCACAGCTGCACACGATGACACAACACAACACAACACACCGGGCAGGGCATGCATTTTGCGCACGCAACGCAGAACGAACGCACGTCGTTTTCGGCAATCCGGCCGGCGTAATCTAGCTCAGAAATTAATCTTATCTGAATGTCGAGACGGATAGATAAACTGGAACATTATATTATACTACTAATAATTTGTGATGGCGACGTTTGCAAACATGCGTTGCCGTCAGCGCTAGGGCATGCACTTATGACCGGCCCGCCGCTTCGGCCCTTCCGTTCGTGGCCCCTGTTGAGGGGCTTCGAGCAGAGCACGGTTGGGGATCCCGGACCATGCCGGCCGCTCCGCCTCCACGGGTGAGAGCCTCCGGCCGAATTCCTTCCCGACAGGCACCTAAAGGAAATGGTTACATTACATGCATCATCGCGCTGCAGGTTTGATGATTGACGATCATGCAAACCATCGAATGGTACGTCTGCCTAACCTAACCTAAAGGTAGCTGTATGTAGGAGCAAAGATAAGCAGCTACCTCTTCTAGCGTAGGAACAATACTAATCTGATGCGAGTTTTTTCTATTGTCGCCATGATGATGAGTGTATTGTGTGTGTATATATACTACACGCTATGATCAGTCCGGCTCGAAGGATTTTCGAGGGTCTGTCTAGCCAACAACCGATTGATTTAGCTCCTTCCATCAACTGAATTTTTTATATACACTTACGCTATCTTATAGCTATATTTACACCGACTTATTCCTATATTTATAATAATTTCTTCAGGGTCATTTATTGGACGGATTGATGTAATTTGGGAATAGCATAAATATATGCCAAAATTTTTAAAAAAACACAAATTATTTCTACGGATTCCAGACATCGAAGAAATATATGTCAAATTGTTCACAAATTCTTCACAAAATTCAAAAAAATATACAAAATCCACACAA